CGGGAGAGAGAGGCAGGAGACGAGCGGTGCGTAAGTAGGTCAAGCGCAAATGATAAACACCTGTGTCTCGTTTCAGTAATCGGTGTGGAGAGACCGGATAAAAGGGGCCACCTGGAACATGATGAGGAGAGAGACTGACTGGGAACGCGAGCCACCCGGGGAGACGGGTGTAGAGAAACACAGAAGCAAGTTGTGTTATGATTGTTATGAGTTATTGACTGCGAGTCTGGAAGCGCTGTGGGAGCGCCGTATTGTGTTGTGTGCATGGAAAGATTTCAATAAAGCTCGCGTCCCAGCAAGCTGACCCTGCCTTCTTCCTTCCACTCTCTTGAACCTTACCACAATCATTAATCCACTGTGCCTCTGCATGAGCAGCACAGGCCTGATTTCATCTTCATGGACGACAGTGCCCCAGCTCATCGAGGTCGCATTATCAGGGAACGGCTACTGGAGGCTGGGGTACCTCAAATGTAGTGGCCTGCACTTTCTCCAGACCTGAATCCCATAGAGAACCATCAGCTGAGTCGTCATGTAGAGGGTCGTAACCCTGAGGCAGCCCTTCAAGAAGAGTGGAATGCTATGCCTCAGCAGACAATAAGTCGACTTGTGTACAGCATGAGATGTCGTTGACAAGCTGTAATTGATGCTCAAGGACACATGACAAGTTCAAGTCAAGTCAAGTCAAGTCGAGAGATATAGGTGGATAATCGATTAAATATATATGAATAAATTATTTAAAAAGTTTAGCGTCCAAGTAAGTCATTACGTATTTATCTACCCATTATACATTACTGTGTATGTACACATTATACATTACTTTATGCATTCATTTAATCTAACTTGTATTTATTTTAATCTTAAATTAAATGTATGCATTTAGAAGACGCTTTTATCCAAAGCGACTTTCAGTGCATTCAGGCTACACATTTTGTTTACCAGTATGTAATCATATTAATATAATCACATAATCGTATGTTCTATAATACACTTACACCATTTTTCTCTTTTCCACGAACCCCAGAAAACCCCTGGCTTACAGAATACCACGTAAATGTTGTAATAATAACTTTATAAAACCATAAAGTATTTATTAAAAGGAACATAAAATAAACAAAACAGCTTATAAATCTCCGAACAATGCGGTAACCTTTATATTGAGATCAGCGTTTTCGTTAAAATCCTTTTCAAGGAAACTTCAGCGCCTTCAGTTTACTAATATAATAAAAAGAATTTAATCAAGATTAAATCAAACAGAATTTCCGTTTATGCGTAATTCACAATAAATATGTCGAATCTGGTGTTCTGAATGAAAAAAAAAAAGCGTTTCGATCGCGGAAGTTACCGGATTCAAATTTCAGACATACATCGTTGTAAGTAGAGAGCCTCTCGCCTCTGCTTTGTTCATTTAATGAACGAATTTAAACTATTCTACTCCTCAATGAGATTACTTAAAAATTGTCGTGCCCCGAAAACATCATCGGACATGCCCAAGTTTCTTGTGTTTTAATTTTTTTTGTTTTTTGCCTTAACGGGTGGATAAAGGCGCTTTTGTCGATAGTTTATCTCCTGCGTTGGATGCGTTTGGGTTGGACGGGGTTTTCAGGGTCAAGGAAAGGCAGCACGAAGGTCTGGCCACGTATTTTAGGAGGTCTAAGCTGAAGTTGCTCCAGCAGTATGATGTGATGCTGAGCGAGGCTCTGATGACTGATCCTCTTCATCGGGAGCTGCTGGAGAAGGTGTGCAGCAAGCCCAGCTTGAAGGAGAAGATCGAAAGCAGGTCAACGATGCTGCAGGTATTTCGCTGGAACTTGGGTCTTTTTGACTCCAGGACATCCAGAAGTTCACAAAGGCCTCAAGACTTATCCAGTTGTTTTTGACTTGGTAGATATGAATGGTACCCAATAAAATGTTTACAGTTTGGCATAAGTAAAAAAAAAAAAAAAATGGAAATGTTA